AGAGAATGACGGAGTCATCAGCTCCGCTTCCTGCAGTGTCTCTGTTTAAAAACAAACAAAAAATCTTCAGGTACCCAGCAGGCCCGATGCTACTTTTTTTTTTTTTTTTTTTAACTGACTGGGGAGCAGCCTGGGATATGCATATAGCTTTCCTGGTTGTATGCACAAGTTCCACAGAGCCGTGAATCTTGTGGCTGTCTATTGGGAAGGCAACCAACCCGTTTGCTATTGTTTCTAAGTAGGTGCTTGTGTAATCATCTTCAGGTCTTGGCCTGTGGTTTGGGGGAAGGGAAAGGGCACATCTAAACTGTATGAGCTCAAGAGAATGAAATTCCTTTGTACTCCAAAGCAGGTTATAAGGGAATAGCTGTCTAACTTAAAAGCACGCAGACAAAAAATTGTTTCAAGTCATGTTATAAACCTGAGAATTGCTGGATCTCTTCTAGTGAATTCTGGGGGAAATCAACTTTGGTCTGGACCAAACTGATCTAAAATAAGCTACAAACATATTGGTGATTTTGCACAAGTGTCTCTGACAGTGTGGCTGAGCCAATAGGGTATGAAAGAGATGGGAGGATCTAGACATTGCTGAGTGGAGAAGAGATTACATGATTTCACAGAATCACAGAATGGTTGAGGTTGGAAGGGACCTCTGGAGATCATCTCGTCCAACCTCCCTGCTCAAGCAGGGTCACCTAGAGCATATTGCCCAGGATCACATCCAGACGGTTTTTGAATATCTCCAGGGAAGGAGACTCCACTACCTCTCTGGGCAACCTGTTCCAGTGCTCCGTCACCCTCACAGTGAAGAAGTTTTTTCTCAGCTTTAGGTGGAACTTCCTGTGGTTCAGTTTCTGCCCGTTGCCTCTTGTCCTGAGACAAAAATTATTTCATTTGCAGTGCAATAATGTATTGAGATAACTTCTGCTTTGACCAAACCTGAGCCCTACGGAATCTGGGACCGCAGTGCTGTTTAAGCCATCCCTGCGTTACAGATTCATGGCCAAGTTGCCAAGTTCTCAAGCGTGTGCTTTCTTAAGATACAGAAAAACTAATCCTCGCACTGCACTGTCCTCTTCCAACTTCTATATATGTTTGCTTTTGAAGGGATAGCGTCTTATGTGCCTGTTTGATTGGCAGGCATGCAGTGGCCAGAGTGAAAAGTCAGGGATACGAGAAAATCCTTTCCGGGAAAGTCCCTGCCATGCTACAAGTGGTCACCAACTAATGGCAACTAAGGGCAGCTCTGCTCAGATGCCGAGACCAGAAGGAAAAAGTGCAGTAAGAAGGCCACAAGAATTTGGCTGAGGGAAAAAGAAATCTTATTTTGGAGAGTTTTGGGACTGCTGATGTTATCCAGGCCTCCTATTGAAGCCTCTCCTCATTCTTTGCACTGAGTTTTATTTACAGCTCAGAATAAAGCAAGTACACTATTTAAGTAGCTCTTGACTGGTATTGTTAATGTATATGCTGTATATCAAGTTTATTGCAAAGTCTGTTAGCAAGCTACCAGTCTAGTTTTTAATCTACGGACAATCTAACTCTCATTTATATGTTTAAGCCGTATTACTTTGCCCAGAGTAAACGCAGCCATTGGAATCCATCCAGTTCACCTAACAACTTTCATTAAAGAAAATTGCCCTTGTAATAAAAATTACTCAGTGTGACAAGAAGCCATAATATATTTTTTAAAGCCTCATAAAATTTTGTAGCAGTTAATGCCCCTTGTTTGTTTTTGAGATTTTCTTTAAAAAGCAAAAAATTGACTTAATTGTGATAATATTTACAATAGAATGAAACAAACGTCTGTCTTCTGTGTTTGTGGAGGCCTGGCTGGATGGTGGGAATAGAGCAGGGATTAGGAAGTGAGAAAATGTGCTTTTGAAAAGTAAATTTCATTGTAGTTTGTAATTTGTGAGGTTGTTTGAGAGTCTGTGACCCTTGTTTCGTAAGAGAAAGTACATACAATAAAGTCTGCAAACTTGAAGTTCATGATACCTAAGCCTTAACCTTATAAAATACAATGATCAAGCATCAAATTTTCTACAGCTGCTGGGGGCATCTAATCTGAGCATCATCTCTCCTTGCAAAGAGGAGAATAGTATGATGGGCCCTACGTCGGTGGGACCGCATGAGTGCTGAGGCAGTACCCGCTAGCTCTTCCTTGCGTCTTCCATCCATCAGAGTCATAAGAAGATTCCTTGTCTGTGAGACCTTGCTTACCCGTGCAGCACAGAGGAGGCCACTTGCTGCAAGCATGAAATGCTTTGGTATCTCTTCATACAGAGACTAAACAGAGGAATGCTAAAGAAGTAAACCTAATGTATGCAAGTTGTGATGGCAGAGGCAGAGTGGGAAGTAGTGGATTAGACTTGTTGATGCTTTCTGTAGACTGGTTGCTTGAGAAAACTGGCTCCTATGCCTTTTTTTCTTGCTATGCTATAAAATTGGGGAAATTTCCCTCAATTCCTAGCTGCTTATTCATTAATTGCTACGAACCAGTCTGTCTTCAGTTAGTCTGAGCAGAACAGAGCAGTCATCACAGTTGCTACAAATACAGCCAAGTCCATAGGGACTTCTTGTTCTTGTGTTAGCGTGCTTCCTCGTGCGAGACAAGGTCCTAAAACGCGCTGCTGTTTCTTGAAGGAGCCTCAGCTATGCCATGCTCATACCAAAATGTAACATAACCAGCACCACAGGTGGGAGAGAAACCTCTTGGATCTTTCACAGTCTCATCTTCTTGTTTTGATCGAAATAAAAAGTTACCAGAAAGCTATGGGTATTCTCTATTGCTTTGGAGCTTTGGATGTTTTAAGACTTGCCAGCGCTTTACAGAAGTCTGGTTTAGATAACGTAGCTGTGGTGGGGTCTGATCTTGCAAATGCTGTGGTGTCTGTGGTCACTGTTAGGAGAATTAGACCCAGAGCTTTTGTATGATGGTTCCTTCCTCTTACTATGATGAACACTGGCAGCACTCTTTTACGTTTGGTTGTCTTGCTTAGATTGACTAAGCTGTACATCATAGCATGGTTTTAGCTGGTTTATGCTTGAGGTGAGGACTCTTTCTCTTTTTATGATAAACTAATGATGGCGAGAGATGATACGTGAAGTTAGCGAACAGTGGTGGTGGCTTCTTTTTTGCTTTTTAAGTCTACCCACTGCCTCACGAGGAAGGCAACTGTACTAATAATATATCTAGTCTCCCCAGAAGCCTCTTATTTGAAAAATCTGTAATTGAGTGGACAAAAATTCTGGTTGCTTGAGAGGATCTATTCAGAAGAGACTTGAAAAGGATGAGGGAAGTGTGCTAGACAGCAAAAAGTACTAAAGGCTCTACTGAGCAGTCTAACCAAGGTAGATATTGTGGGACAGTTAGCCGTGTCAGGCAAAACACTAAAATGCATTTCTGAACAAAAACTCCTGGTGAATGTTAAATATAGCTTTGAAAAAGGTAAAAAGCTTGCTAGGAATACCTCAAAAGCAAAGAGCAGTTGATTTGCGTGATCACTGAATGAAGGCAGGCGATGGCTGCTTCAAAGGGGAGGTGCAGAATGGATGTTAGTCAAAGGGATTTTGCCCTTTTTTTTCCCTCCGTTAGCCGGAACCCCAAGGCGTGATTGCTGGGTCAGCACCATGCAGGAGAGCTCATGGAATTTGTTGAGTTTTTTTGCCCCTTCACCCTTGTTAGAAAGCTGTTCTAGGACCTGGCTTCCCTGGTGCCCTGTTCGGAGGTGGTTTCACACTGTCTGCCTTTTCAGCCCCTACCTTTTATGCCTGCTTTGGGAGCCAAGGAAGGCTCCCCTGTACAACCAGTTGGCAGAGGAAGAGTGGTACCTTTCAAAGGACGGCTCACTGCACGTAGGCAAAGCTCTTGCTTTGTCCCCTGTAGCTGAGGAAAATAAACCTGCGAGGCTATTGGTACTAAGCGATTGCCTCTATTCAAGTCTTCTGTGATGGGATTTTAAGACAGTTAATTGCTTACATCTGGCTGACTAGCTTTTGCCTGGAGAGGTTGGTCTCCTTCATCAGCTGCTGATGGCAACAGATCGTATGACGCATTAGCGAGCGCTGGTTGTGTCCCTGGCACGCTGTGATTTGGGTTTGCTGTCAAGTAAGTCCAAACTTAAGATGCCTAAAGATCAGTCTATTAATAACTAGGCCTGCGTGGTCAGCTTTTACCCTCTTTTTAGATTTTTTTTCAGTGCTTTGCTCTTTGATATAAAGACGGCTGCATGCCCCGACTCTTGATGTAGATCGAGCCACCTCTGCTTTTTAGTTCTTCTAAAACAAGCTACCGTTGTTTTGATCACTCAGTAATCTTTTTTTTTACAACTTTTCTGTTTGAATTCTCGTTGATCATGGTGACCACAAGTGCGTGTGCTGTTCCAGGTGTGGCTCCACTCCGTTTTCAGTAGCAGAAATGTTTCCATATTTAAATGCAGATATCTCCTCTGCTAAGCGTTTTTATGCAACTACCCACATATATTTAGTGGCCGTGCCTGCCTTGCCAGCTTCGAGGGCTGTTTGACTAGGCTTTTTGTTGCTTTTTATGTATGCATGAGTGGATGGTCATGTTCTGCGTTCCGAGGAAATCAAACACAGCTTAAATGCACTGAGTGCAGTACACTTCTGAAAGTAACACGTCTGAGAATCCTTGCAGTATGCTCTGATAAAGTTCTCCCAGAGCTTTGCCAGTAGGCTTTTATTCTTCGTTTCCCCTTTTCCCTACTGCTTTCGTTTCTGTCCAGTACTCCTCCATCTCTTTCTGGTTGCTCCCTTTTTTGTTATTGCTAAGCTTTTGGAGTGTCCTCAGAAGTCTTAATTAAGAGGTCATGTTTAAACCTTGGATTTAAATGAAACTATTCTTACTTCCTTCTTTCCTGATGCTGCCTTTGACTGTTCAGAACCTACTTCCAAAGATACCTTTCTTCTAATAAGAAATAAGCTGTATTTTTAAGAAATGATCTGTTACAATATTTTAATTTCTTATTTTCATACAGAACACTTGAAGAAACCACTGGAAGATTATATGGCCCAGTTCCCAAAAGTAAGAATTATCCGAACCAAAAAGAGAGAAGGGCTAATAAGAACTCGAATGCTTGGGGCCTCTGTGGCAATAGGAGATGTCATCACTTTCTTGGATTCCCATTGCGAGGCCAACGTGAACTGGCTGCCACCTCTGTTAGGTAAGCAGCTGGTGTCAGGTGTTGTCCGTAGCTGAAGACTGAACTGGTAAAGAACTGGCAACAGATGTTAGCGTTGAATTTATTGCATTTCCACCTTCTGCTGTTTCCGTATGGTGTAAGCGGATAAAAAAGATGATGAAATATCTAAAAGCGGAGGGGAGGAGAAAACACTCGGGTGAATTGTTGGCAACTTGTAGCCTTTAATACAAGACTCTTTTTCTGTGCAGGAGTCCTACACTGTAATATGCTTTGCTTAATTAAAGAGCAAAGATCGTGTTCTTCTGCTTCCTCACAAAATGAAAATTTAAATAACGTACAGCTTGCTAGAAGAGTAAACAACTACCTGGTCATTCAGCAGCTTGCAGAAGGAAATTGCTTTATGAGCCAGAACAGATCTTTAGATACAATTTTTAAGCAGCTTTCGGATTTTTTCTCCCGTAGAACTATATTTAACTTGCTAGTCTGCAAGCCTGCAGAAAATACTTCTTGTGAATAACAGCTGCCGGTATGTGTTTGTAGAACAGGGGCAGTCCTCTCCAAGGCAATTCTTTATTGTTAAGAAGGCATCAGTTTTACAATGTCAGTCCTTTTCAAAGGTGACTAATTAAAAGGACACTGCCTTCTGTTTTGCCTCGGGCCAGCACCGCCTCTGCTGATGGGGCGTTTCTGTTTAAGTAGCGAGCTACCTTTTCGTTTGCTCTTTGCAGTGCTTAGCTGAGTCAAATTATGCTATCTGGATTGTTTATTTGTTTTGGAGGAGTGTTTTTGTGCCCTGCTGTAGATTCATCAAGTTTTCCGACTGTATCTGCTGCACGCCCAACGCTATTTCAAGTGGGCATCTGGCAGTATCCAGTTCACCTTAGCTGCCAGATAGGGTGCTCTATGAAAGTAGAAATTTACCCTTCAGAATACCAAACTCCTCTACAACCCTACTGCAAGTAACCTGTCCAAGCTCTCTGAGGTGTGGCTTTGTGGAATAAACCCTGGCAACAACAGTCAAGTCACAACAGATTTATCAGCTGGTTCTTAGATGGTAATACTGTTGCTTTCACAACAGCTTGTATGTGGTGTTAATTCTGAATAGCGTAAAACATTTGCAACTTTTTGAGCCCCAGGGAGGGAGGATAGAATTAGCTCAGATGCCATTTAAATGAGAACATGTACAGTATGCTTTGATTTTAAAGCACAGAAAGTATTTTTGTTAGACATGCATGGGAAGCTGAAACATCATTTGTTGCCTCTGCTCTGAAAGTTGACTTCCAACAAGAGACCTTCTCAGTAATAAAGTATTTAAGAAGTTCCAGATGTTTACACAGGAATTAGTCCTGTCTTGTATTATTTGATTGGAAGAAAATGTTGAGGGGAGGAGACTGCTTGATGTATTTCTTGCGACTGCTAAGAGTAGCTATGCCATTAGTCTGGAGTGCTTCCTGCCAGATTCTGGCACAGCAATTAAAGCTTATTGGGGCTAGGTAGTACAGCGGGTTGTTACCCTGGTTTTGGACCAGTGCAGAAAGGGTTCACATACAGTTCGCTCATTAAAATGAGTAACGTTAACTCAGTAAGTACAAGACTGTCTCTTTTTAGCCTAGTGTTTTAGGTATCTGTGGTAGTGTGGCTGGGTCTTCCTCTTCTGCTTCAGGGTGATGGCCACTGTGGCATGAGTGCTCGGTGTTTTTTATCTCAAGAGTTTTGGCTAGCATATCTCAATCATACCGGAAATACCAGATAAACTGACACAAGTTGGGACATCTACCAAAAAGAGACCAAAATGGAAGAAAGCTACGACTGTCTTGATGTTTTGATAGTCTTTTCTGTAATTTCACGGTCAAAGAAACTAACTGGTGCAGGTTTTCTAACATCTTTCTCCAATCTTCAGATCGTATTGCCCGAAACCGCAAGACTATCGTTTGTCCCATGATAGATGTTATCGATCACGACCACTTTGGATATGAGACTCAGGCTGGAGATGCAATGCGTGGTGCATTTGACTGGGAGATGTATTACAAGAGAATCCCTATCCCTCCTGAGCTGCAGAAACCTGATCCCAGTGATCCCTTTGAGTAAGTTACTGAAATGTGGTGTGGTGAGAGCCAGCTAACAAAATAAAACCCTGCTACAGTATTGGTTTACACCTTAGTGTAGTAGAAGTGACAAGTTGGTGGTAAGCTACTCTTTTTCTGGCAGCTGTTTGCTTTGTTGGTTTAAATGAAATGCATTGTGTACTAGCTGTGAACACTCTCCTTTTCATTGCTATTTTTTGCCACCCTAATTCCTGCAGAAGTTAACGTTCCATTTAAAACTAATGCGTGACATTTAATGTGGTCATTTATTACGGAGATCTTTCAAACATAACTTAGTTTCCCTAATGCTCTGCCAAAAACAACAAACCAATGGCAGCTAATATGTCATTCCCAGGTGGGGGGAGAAGAAAACCTAGCAGAACAATTACAGCAATTTCGATGATTGCAGTGTGCTGCAGAACTAAATCTGTGATCAAGATATGTTCTGCTGTCGTTGTGCTTGCCAACACTGACACAGTTCTGCTGTCCCTCACGCTTCTGCAGTATTAAAAAAAAAAAAAATTTTTAAAAAGACACGCACACAAAACACCTTATGAGGTCAAGCTCAATGACTTGATCGTACCACTGAGATAAAGAGCACTACATGTGCAGCACGTGGGTCCCTCTGGGAGAGGTTACGTCCCGTCACTTAATGGCCAGCTCTCGTGCCCATTTGGAGGAGAGGCATCGACTGGTTCTGAAGGGAGCCTAGTCTAGCCCTCCTTGTTTGCAAGTGGGAAATTAGCAGAGAGTGCAAAACCACATTTGCTCCTACCAGGATGCTAAGGCACTGTGAACAGTGGGTGGGGAAAAGAGTATTTGTGAAATCTTGCTTTGTTTTTTAAATGTTTAGCTAGAGATCTGTATCTTTGAATATGTTTGTAATATGGAGTCTGGTTTTTTCTTAAGGTCTCCTGTAATGGCTGGAGGACTGTTTGCAGTCGATAGAAAGTGGTTCTGGGAGCTGGGAGGGTATGATGCAGGTCTGGAGATATGGGGAGGAGAACAGTATGAAATATCCTTTAAGGTGAGCTATGTTCTCTGGAAATTACTTTTGCTTTGGAAAGTAAGAATTGTTCTGAGGCGCAGAATGTGAATGATCTATCTTGTCCTTGCTTTTGCGTGTGACTGAAGGTGAAAGAGCTGGGAGTAGTAGGATGATAGCATGCAGAAGAAACAGCGATGGTGTAACCAGTCATTTCTGAGGGTCAGTTTTGGAGCATGATTAACTGGGCTGTCTCCTGTTGGGTGGTCCCTGCTTCAGCTGCAAGTGCCCTTCCTAGCAAGGGTAAGTCGGCTTGTGTGGAGTTCTCTAAACTGCTAGGCTTCTATTACCCACCCTAGCGAGAAGATGAAATACTCTCTTTCTTGAGGGGAAAAATGATTCAGGCTTTTCAACGTTTGCCCAATTGAGTGCCTCAGTCCTGAGTTTGCGTTCCCAAAGATGAGAGTAACTTACTGTCTCTGCAGTCAATCCATCTGACTCCTGGCTGCGAGGAACTATGGCTATTAATTCCCTTGTAAGAAATCCTCAATAACTGGAATAATAGCGTTGTTGCTGGCAATGAGTTTGGATCATTATCTGCCTGGCTGGAGCACAGTTCTGTTACTTATTGATTGACCAAGCTGTTCAGTTTGAGGGCTTTAAAATGAGACGTAGCCAGTTGACCAAAAATGCTTGCTAATAGTGATGAGTCGCTGTGACCCCCAAGATCTTTGGCACCTGTGTTATCTGGGAATATCGCACTCTGACACATGTCCTAGGAAACCCGCTGGAACGTCCCAGTTCCCTGAAGGCAGGTGGCTTCCCGGAGAGAACGAGGTAAAGATTTCTGTGTAAAACTGTGTTTGAGTCAACGTGGTGTTTCTTTTCAGAGATGGCATATATAACCTTATAGGTGTCTGGATGCTGCTGAGCTAAGCTAGTTGGCCTCAGCGTGGGGCCAGCAGATGGTCGCAACGCTACCCCAGCGCACAGTTTACCTGGGGCAGCTGGAATCCCTCCTCTGCCTGCCCTTGCGCGCAGTCGTGACTGGTCTCTCTCAAAACAGATTCCTAAATCGCAGTGGCTTTATGCAGCTCAAAGGCCTATCAAACTATTCAGCAGGCAATTACCATACAGCAAACTATGTATTTTCTTCCACTGTTTGCTTACAAAAAAACTATTAATAAAGTCACATGGGAGGTCCCTTAAGCCCTGTAGCAGTGGCAGGAAGGGGGGACATTGACACCCTCTTTGGAGATGTCATTACGGTTAGAGCGGTTTGTTCTTTGTGCTGCATGCAATGCAATAGTGTAACAAAGTCATCCTCTGCAGGAGGGGCAGTGGCAGTACTCAGTCCCTTTCCCTTGGCCCTTTCTGGAATTGCTGGTTTCCAAGAGCGATGACAGTGGCTGGGCAAGCCCTTTGTCTCTAGTGCCACAGCAGACAGTCGCACTGCTTGATCTGCGGGAAATAAGAGTACTCCATTCATCTGTTTGCTTATCCTCTCTGAAACGCGCTGTGTTTTATTTCAGTCCAGAGATGGTAATTTATGGAGGGCTAAATTTGCCTTAATTAATCTCTGCAAAGACCCCCTTTTTCCTTTCATTGTGCAACAGAAAAATGAAGTTTTAACTGAAAGAGGCTCAGTGTGTTTTCAGAAATTAAGATAAATTGATACATTCATCTATGGCTGATAGATTTAATAATTCTGCTGGAATTGCAAGAATAGAAGGTTTGTTCACCGAATTTATGAAGCCATGACATTTCCTGGCGAGCTTAGAGCTATGCTTTTACCTTGAGAAGCAGACTGAGATTTGGTAGTTAAAGGGGTACTGTCAAATAATTTAAAGCTCAGGGTTTAGACGTGGGGTACCTACTTTCACATTATGTATTATCTAATGGGAAGCATCTTTTCAGATTCTAAGTGCCAAATTTACAGCCCACCTTTAACAAAGAATCTGTTCCTGCGCTTGGGAGTTGTGGGTGCAGGTGCTCTGTTGTACTATGGGTCTTTGAACCATTGAATCAAATCTGGCCTTCTCAAACTTCACCAGGAATAGATTTTAACATAGTCTTATTCTCTGTTGGCCACATATGGATGGTGCTTTACAGATTTTTGCCTTTATTTTAAAATCCAGGGCTCTGTTGCTGAGATACTGGAGATAAACAAGTTTATTTAGGAGCCTCTTGCGTTTCTGTTTTCTGTTTTGAAGATCGTATGTATTTCTGTCATTGTCAGCTGGCTCTCTTTCCTTCAGAGGAGAAACTTTCAGGCTGAAGGCAAGCCAACAGAGACACCATCGGTACTTAGCACTTGGGAAAGCGCTTAACCAGAGGATGGGTCAAACTCTGTTAAAAGAAGCCCTGCTCTTTGGGTGGAACGTGTACGCTGAACATCACTTAAAGAACACAGCATACTCGGGGGGGCAAAAACGCTTAAAATTTAGGCAACCTTTGAATTAGAAATTAACTTTCTCACTCAGACCCTATCCCTAATACTTATAAGAATTATAAAAGAGCAACCTACCGTCTAATACTGAAACATAAAAGAAACATGCCTCACTTGGATGCTTTATGACTCTTTTCAAAGGCTAGGAACTATAATTTTTTTTTGTAGGTGGTCTGTTCCTTTCAGCATAGCTTGCTGAGTGGTCCCTGGGCAAGTGTAGAAGACTGTGGGAGAGATTAGAAATGCCCCCCCGTTCTAAAAATGAAGCAGAGAGAGTTGTCTTTAAGCTGCAAAAAAGGGCAGCAGTCCCAGCACCTGTAAAACAGTTTCTTCTCTTACAGAAGAAGGAACTATGGGGATTTAAGTGATGGGGTCTCATGGGCATTACACCTCCCTATGTCTTCGTCTGAAGTGTCTCTTGTGCCTCTGATTTCAGGGCTGCAAGCAGGATCTGTTCTGTCTGCATGGCCCTAAAACCACTTGCGCTGTTGCTTCATAGAGCAGTACAGGCGGGTTGTTAGCACTATAAGGCGAGGAAGCCCAGCTGCAGATCCACAGCCTGTGACCTGTGGAGCTGTGAGACCATTAACCTCGGACTGGTGCTCTAGGCATGGGATGAGACGGAAGAGGAGGGTAAACAAGGGGACTCCTACAGACAGAGAGGAGGGAATACCCTAGCAAGAGAAGGCTTGACCCTGGCCAAGACACAACTGTATTGCAATTTCAACTCCTCTCTAGCAAAAAGTCTGTAATATTTCATTTTCCTCAACTGCTTTACATTAATGGAAACATATTGACTAAGAGATCTCAGAGCAGTAAGGCTCGTTAATGAGCAATTAACTGTCAGACAATACAAAAATTATCTGCCTCTCTGCAAGAGGGAAAACACCAGCGCCTATCAAAAGTGAGGGAACTGTTTTTAAATTGATAATAGATTAGGAAAGGTAAAGACACAGAAGAATTTTCCTTTTTTCTGACTTTGTCTACCCAGTGCAGTGCAGTACCTGGAGTTAAAGACGCTGGAGTTAGCTGTCAGCTGATTTATCCTATGCAAAGCAACCCAGTGCCCTGCAGAGATGCTGGCTCAGATCCTGAAAGAAGTGCAGTCATGTTAGTTTGCTGTTTCATTTGAAAAAAATTAGGCTTGCTTCTTAACAGGGCTAATTAGCTGAGAAGTGGCTCCACAGCACTGAAGCTTTTTTGGATCTTAATTCTGGTCCTAACTGTGGTGTCTCTTTGTGCTCTGCTGCAAGGTAGAGATGCTGTCAGGTATTGCTTATAGAGCAGATATTGCTGGACGCAGCAAGGTCATCTCTTTAAACAGACAGCCCGCTCTTTTGAGGCGCTATCTAGCCAGATGCATCGAGTTCTGTCTCATGAGAAGTTGCTGAGGGAAGGTTAGGTTGTCTGTCGCTGCAGCCTTCCTGGATGCCTCCTTCCCCACAAAATGTTGAGTAGAAAGATTGGGACTTTCAGCAAACTGAGGGATTTAACCCCAAACGACTGAAACATTTGTCCTCCTGTGGAGAAGGAGGTAGTATCTTTATTTCTGTCATATGTTTAACCATTTAGGTCTTTGTAGCAGAAACACAGTCTGTTCCTGGTGGCTGTGTAGACTGCTCAGTGGTTGTATTCTTCTTTGTGTTTTGGAGGAGGGCTAAATAAGCATGCACAACTCTTTCTCTGTGGCACTTGTTACCTTTCTTTTCTGGTGCCCCCTAACTCAGCAGACCTAGTTTCTCTGTTCAGTGGATTTTTTAGGCGGCTTTTGTTCTTTTGGAGTCACTTTCATGTCTCTCTTCTTCTGTGGCTTTTCTCAGTCTTTTGCATCTTTCCGCAAAGATGTGAACAAAACTGGACACTTCACCCAAGGGGAGGGACAATGTGTCTTTCCTCTTTTAAACACAACTTGGTAGCTCTGCTTTTCTGATGCTACTGCATACTCAGAAAATACCTGTACTGTGCTGCCTACGTAACCACTTCATTCTCTTTCTGAGATGAACCTGTTTAATTCAGGGCAGTATATAGAAGGGATTTAAATTGTTCCTTTCTGCAAATGCCACTTGGTACACCACTTTTCTATGCTCATTTTCACCTGCTATCATATTGCCTGTTTTCCAGGTTTTTTTTGGCTCCCATTCTTCTCTGTTTACATAATCCTCACTAAACTGCCTCACCTTTCTCTCCCGTAAATAACTTATTTCTGACTTTTCGGGGTATGGGGAAGCAAGAAGAAAAAGTGGTGGCTCTGACTTGTATAGGCGTAGGTGTACCTTGCGCATCAGACCTTGAGGGATGTGGTTCTCCATCCTTTAATTGTATGTTGTACTTCAAGAGCAAAAAATGGGAATCTGGAATATCCCTCAGGAGGTGATATACCATTTCAGTTTTAGAAATGTTTGGTTTAAATAGAAATTCCAAAACCTTTATAAAATTCAAAAGGGTTGGTGCAGACATGCAATTTTGAGAGTTGCCCTGAAAATAATGATTAAAAGGAGGCAAAAGAGAAATAAGCAGCGCTTGTGGTCTTCTGTCCTTGCTTCAGCAAAGGAAAATGTCCACTGCACTTACTCTGGTGATCACAGGTCATTGC